GAGTCTACGACATTGATTCTTTCAATGAAGATTACCGTCTGAATTTGGGAATGAGATTTGAGGAGAAGACGGATCAAAAGATCTGAAGGCTGACGACATATTTAGCACGAATAAAGAAAATACTTCGTCAATAATTGTCTGATTCTTTTTTAATATGTCGATTTCGGTGAAGCTCGCAAATAGCAAGAACGCTTTTCGCTGAACTTAGCAAAATCAAACCAGTTGTTCCTGATCATTCTGGGGTTTGGGAAATTTTGTGCGCGATCAATATTCATTCCATTCCATTTAGTTTTTCCCAATATAATTGGCACTCAGTCATGTCGAATCAGAATTGTAGTGTATACCTATCCAACACAAAATAGTGTTGTACATGTTGTTTGCAACCGTAATGTAGCTGGCAATTAGAAAGCGTGTGAAAATAAAGTATGGTGCATCGTGTTTTAGTGTAGCTGATACTGCTGTAATGTTGATTCATATAGCATACGCATTGCTCATGTAGTCCCTGTATGTGATCGCACACTTTTAATACTCTCCGTGATCGTTAGTTTCGTTCTGTGTTCGATAGCCCGCGACACATGTTTTCTCGAAATAATAGGCGAAATATAAATCGAAGAGCTTAGGATTTATAGAATTGGTAAGTTGGGCTACCGCCCCATTTCTTAACCATCCGAATCAACCTCCGGAAGTAGACATGAATTCTTTTTTGACGAAGCTTTAAAGTAAACATATTGAACGACACAAACTAGTGGCCACTTTGACCGTTCTTCTGAAAATAAATTAATGCTACATAAAGCTATATAGCTATATTGCGAATTACAACGCCTTGTTTTATTCATTTTAATGTGTCATACATAGTGGACACTTCACTAGTAGAGTAGTCTACAACTTCCTAAGTTCACACATCACGAACACCAACGTTGTTTCAAAATTCCAAGTGTGCCTTTGTCGATCTTATCCAATGGGTAATTGGAAATATATATATATCGACAAACGTAGCTCAACTAATATTACAAAATGCCAATAGGGCTGTCAGCCCGCCACAGCCGAAAAGGCACCATGAAAAACCAATGCTTCCTCACATGAGGATGTTGTTTATTAATTCATGTGTAACAATATAACTATCGAATTGTACAGTGTTGTACATGTTGTTTGCAACCATAATGTAGCTGGCAATTAGAAAGCGTGTGAAAGTAAAGTATGGTGCATCGTGCTTTAGTGTAGCTGATATTGCTGTAATTTTGATTCATATAACATACGCATTGCTCATGTAGTCCCTGTATGTGATCGCACACTTTTAATACTCTCCGTGACCGTTGGTGTTCGATAGCCCGCGACACATGTTTTCTCGAAATAATAGGCGAAATATAGATCGAAGAGCTTAGGATTTATAGAATTGGTAAGTTGGGCTACCGCCCCATTTCTTAATACTGCTATGTATCGTGGCACTTAACCCATTTAAAGGCCCGATTTAAGTCGGCGAATCTCCGGATTTCAAAGTGTTTTTTGGTCCTAAAATTTGGAACTCGGAGAGTCTTCGGGTTCAGGGTGGACTGGTGATATGAAAAGTCTAAATATAGTGAACACTTAATACAAGAGGCCAACAAAGAGCCAGAATTATAAGCATTGTTTTCCTAGGAAGTATGAACAAATTTAACTACATTGACATATGAATGAATGTTCACAGCTTTATTTCCTAATTTGACTGAGAAGTTTATAATATACAACCGGGGCGTAATAGGTCGTTGCTTTCTCCATTCGTCCCCTTTATACTAATGACGGGTCTAGGCCAAGGGAAGCCAGAGATAATTTCTAATTACTGTGTCAAAGACCAACCCTGGCCCAGTCCCGAGTTCTGTCCACTACACTCAACTCTCGATGTGTGCAGCATGTATATACACACAAATATGTGTATATCTGTATGTACATGAGTGGTTAAGTACTAACTTATTTCTTCTCATCCTTATCGTTTACATCCTTGAATTCGGCCTCCTGAGCTCCGGAATCACCACCCTGCTCGTTCTGCAACAGAGATGACACGAAAAGGAAATCGTTAAGTGCCAGATATATCAGATAATTATATATATAAATAGAGTATTGTACGATAATCTTAACGTGGCGCACCAAGGTACCAAATACTTAATTCCCCTCGTTGCCTATGATAGACGGCTATGAACCCCTAAACTGAAAATTTAAAGACTCGTAGATTATAACAAATTTGCGCACTGAAATCAAACATGCCGATCCGTTCGAATCAGATAGGAGCGAAAGAATTGCATAGTAAATCAACAGCACTTACAGAGAGTGAATATGTTGAACTATGGTATCATCAGTGCAAACGGACGGTATTGTCTTGGTCATTATATTACCACAAGCATTACATACACCGATATCTAAATAGCGAAACAAACTCTACAGACTTTCGAATAGAGGCTCGTAACATTAACTTACATACTACAGACCTTAAATTACACATACGCTCGAATATAAGTATACATTAACGCTACGACTCATACTGTCGCTGACATACAACTCCACGGCTAACCAAACGCCTTACTACTACAACAGCACGCCTTTTCCCCCGTGCCCATATATACAAACACCCAACACTTTCACCGACACAAACACGGACACAGACACGTTAACTCCAACCAAACTACTAGATCAGCAGCACATACAACCTACTAGCTGAACATCGCATCCAACCTACTAGCCCATCAACATACCTTCTTAGCGGCGTACTGGTACATGTTAAGAGACGCCTGCTGAAGCTGGTTGATGGCCTCCCTGACACTCTCCTGGTCGACCTCATCCTTGCCAATGATATTTCGCAGGTCCGTGATCTTCTCCTCGATCTTGGCCTTCTCGTCCGCGGGGATCTGATCCTTATACTCGTTTATGCTCTTCTCGGTATCGTGGATAGCACTCTCGGCCTGGTTAGTCGCCTCAACCGCACCCTTGCGCTTGGCGTCCTCCTCAGCGTGCTTCTCAGCCTCCTGTACCATGTTCTCGATCTGGTCCTTGGACAGACCACCGCTGCTCTGGATGACAATGTTGGCCTCCTTTCCGGTTCCCTTATCTCTGGCAGATACGTTGACAATACCGTTAGCGTCGATGTCGAAGGTAACTTCAATCTGGGGCACACCACGAGGCGCGGGGGGGAAGCCGGAGAGTGTGAACTCACCCAGCTTCTGGTTAGCCGCCGCCATCTCTCTCTCGCCCTGCATGACCTTGATCTCGACCTGGGTCTGGCCGTCCGCTGCGGTACTGAAAACCTGTGACTTCTTGGTGGGGATGGTGGTGTTGCGGTTGATCAGACGCGTGAACACTCCACCCAGAGTTTCGATACCTAGGGACAGAGGAGTCACATCCAACAACAGAACGTCGTGCACATCACCGGCCAGCACACCTCCCTGGATAGCCGCACCGATGGCCACAGCCTCGTCGGGGTTGACACCCTTGGAGGGGGTCTTGCCGAAGATCTCCTTGACCGTCTTCTGCACCTTGGGCATACGCGACATACCACCAACCAGCAGCACCTCACCAATATCGCTGGTAGACACATCCGCATCCTTGATACACTTGCGGCAGGGCTCGCGGGTGCGCTCGATCAGACTGTCTGTGAGGCGTTCGAGTTCACTGCGGCTCAGCTTCATGGTCATGTGCTTAGGTCCACTGGCATCGGCCGTGATGTAGGGCAGGTTGACATCGGTGGAGGTTGAGTTGGACAACTCTACCTTAGCCTTCTCGGCAGCCTCACGCAAACGCTGCAGCGCAAAGGCGTCCTTGGCCAGATCAATACCGTCACTCTTCTTGAAATCAGCCAACATGTGGTCCAGGATGACCTTGTCGAAGTCCTCGCCACCCAGGAAGGTGTCTCCGTTCGTCGCCTTGACCTCAAACACACCCTTCTGGATCTCCAGGATACTCACATCAAAGGTACCACCTCCTAGATCATACACGGCGATTAATCGGTCATCCGTCTTGGACAGTCCGTAGGCCAGGGCGGCGGCTGTGGGCTCGTTGATCACACGCAGCACGTTAAGCCCAGCAATTTGTCCGGCATCCTTGGTCGCCTGACGCTGTGAATCATTGAAGTACGCGGGGACTGTCACCACCGCGTTATTGCAGGGGGTGCCCAGATACTCAGAGGCGGTCTCCTTCATCTTGGTCAGCACAAACGCGCCGATCTGTGACGGCGAGTACTTCTTGCCCTCGGCCTCTACCCACGCATCGCCGTTGTTGGCCTTGACAATCTTGTAAGAGACCAGGTCGATGTCCTTCTGTGTCTCCTTGTCGTCGAATCGACGTCCGATCAGACGCTTGGTGGCGTATAGTGTGTTCTGGGGGTTGGTGACGGCCTGGCGTCTGGCGGGCACTCCTACAAGGCGCTCGCTGGTGGTTATAAGAGTGGGATACCGAGTTTAGTTATGTTGTTTTGTAGGATATTATTTTGTAAAGGCGTTTTCCGCACACATACAGATATACTCCCATACGTAGTGAATGAACACATCGAGTTGCCTATTCAATGTGAGCCTTGGAATATAGCACCACAGCCCCGGTTGGCAACTGACAGGACCATTGCATCATTGCTCCACGAACACAGGGCAAGCGCATAGGCAACCACACCTGAATACCATGCATATGAATACGTCCCACAATACCGGCGAGGATATATATCACGACATGTTGATTAACTACGATGCCCACCAGACATTATGCTCTACCACCTGTAGAGCATCACTGCCGCACGCGATTACATACTTGAAGATTCAACGACAAAAATCTAAAGTAATCAATGTAAGCATCTACACCAGTCACACCACCAACACGCATGCACACTAAATGACTGCATTGCTGTACTGCGTAGTCCCATATGGCCATTCAATAACTCCAACATGCACGTATGTAGACCGATAGCTACCAAACTACACTCGTGAAAAATAACATACCCATCCTTGGTGAAAGCCACCACTGAAGGTGTGGTGCGTTGACCCTCCGAGTTCTCGATGACGCGAGCGTCTTTACCATCCATAACAGCCACACATGAGTTGGTTGTTCCCAAATCAATACCAATTACAGCACCCTTGATGTCGCTGAAGTTACGAGCTACGACAGAGGCAGCCTGAGAAAATGGGGTGGTATCGACATTCATAAAATGAGTTTTTTTTTATGTGGATAGAAGTTTTTTCGCCCTGTGAACATGAGCAGTCAATAATTTGAAACCCAAGAATGTGGCGTGACCATTACTAAAAGTAGTTTCTATTCATATGAAGATATGTGGCGCACGAAGTAATGTAGTGTACTACAGTCATGTACAATACATACAATACTGCTAACCCTTGTAGCCTGCTATCTCTAAAACCCGACGACCGTAGCACATCCAACAACAAAAGTAGCTGATCAATACAACGACCAGTGACTGTTGCAAATCAATGACTTCCGAGTAATCGTTCAGTAGGCTAAGTTCAAAGAAGACCAGCAATAGTATACTTACACATCTTGATATATCTAAAAATCACCTCTAAGTTACATCAAACTACTTAACGTATAAAAGATAGAGAGCAAAAAAAGTATCAAGCATGGTTAATAAGGAAAAGAATATAAGGGGGGCAAGAGGAATACTACATACAATCCTACGTAAAATAAAACTCAAACATGCGTATATCGTGCAGTCAGGAATCACTATATATTAACTGAATACAAAACAAAACAGGACAAATCCAATAGTACTATTATAAACTTGCATATTAAGCATACGCACAACAATCCAAGCTGAAAGATGAACACTAGGATGTACATGTATAACTACAATAGGCAACAAATACGTTAATATACATGTCATCTGCACAAAGAATATATGAATGTACCCTAACGAACATATAATACGAAACACTTTACATGAATCTCAGAATTAATCAATACGATAGAGCGAACTGGAATTCTTCACACAGGACATACAAATGAACAGATATTGACAGAGTTGAACAAGCAAACGAGTAAGTTCAATTCTGAACGCGAAAGCTACTGCAAGTACCATATAACACAATTTCACTTTCGGACAACAACAAACTATACAAGGATCCTGCAGAATGTGACAGAAATAAACAAAATAAGATGCAATACAACAGAAATAATACGAACTGATAGACAACGAACGGGAATACACGCATACGTCGCAGATACGAAAAGAATAAAGTAGAACAGGGAAAGGAACACACACAAAAGTATAGAAAGACAATGTGTGTATACATACTTACATAAAATAATACGAGTACAAAAGAAGAAGTATGCAAGCACGCACGCGTACATACATGCGTGCGCATAGGCATCAACCGGCAATACAGGCTTGCATCAGGTATTCATACATATTCCACATTGAAAGACAATACATGTACATACGTGTACTATGCATACGTGCATGATGCATACTACATACCGGTACACTCTGTGACACGACAGATCGCATAGCGGCGGAGCGACCCGCCCTGGAAAGTGTGGAGAGCATGTTGTTTATTTGTATTTGAGTTGTGTGTGCACGTATACACTATGATGGGTGTCCAATGCTTGCACTCCTCTTTTGTTTATTTCGGAAATGTTCAAATAATTTTAGACTTTACGCCGAATTTGGCAAATGGCCAATACCCCCAAGAACCCAGGTCAATACTATTGTAGGAGGATTTTAGATACTACTAAGAACCAGGGTTGGTTCAAGCTCTTGGGATCCATGCAATGTTCCGGGGTTTCACTCTTCTTGTCGCGTGCAATCGAGAACTCATAAATCGGGTTCATGAATTCATTGGATTGGCCACTGTTTGGCATTTGCCTACGATGATATTAGGCACTCCTCTCAAAGCACTGGCGCGTGGTCGCATTGTTTATAATGTACCGGCATATGCAACAATTTGAAAATTTGCAATAAAAACATGTTAACATTATAATGTGTCGTAAATCAGTATCAATTGAAATTATTTACACTGTGCTCGTGACTCACCAGTCATATTTACCGGATCATATCAGTTTACAACCCGCAGGTCTGAATTTAAAACAAATACAACAAATATAAACGACATATGTTTGTCCATGGTCATACCACATAAGAATCGCTACACCCAATTAAAGACATAGGATGTCTGCAATATTTGTTTTTTTTACAACCTGCTTACACTTTTCAGTTCCCGATTGGTCGGAGGTTCTGTTTTGCAATATTCCGGAACATTTCGTTGAACATCAAGGTCCAAGGCAAAACGTTATATATTTTAAACCCGTTTACAATTCGTCAACTTCCATATTCATTTTTTAATAAATATGAACCAGGATATTGTGACTGTTTAAACGTTAATAATATACCGAAAATAAAATACACGTTTACGGAAAATTCTACAGGGAAATGTTGAGGGACTGAGGGAGTCCACACTCCACACAGACACGCCACACGCCACGCTCAGCACACTGTCAGAGTGACCACTGACTAGAGTAGTACCAGACTCTCTACGTAGAGTACAGACTCTACTACTCAGAGAGAGAGAGCTCGTAAAAGAACCTCTAATAAACAAGTCACTTTTAACCTCTGAGTCATGGGGTGTACACTATACATACGAGGGTTACAACACAGCATAAGTATAAACCAGATTTTTCGAGAAGGTTGCAAACCTAGTTTACACTCAAAATCGATAGAACCCCACCATGACCCTCTAGCAAGGTGGCCAGGACCCCACAATCCCACATGACAAAATACTTATCTGAAAATTCATATTATTTTTAGAAGAAAAAGTCATAGCCTTCTGAAAATTGAACAACTCTATTATTTTTTCTGAATGTCATGATATGTGTCTTGAGCAGATGTTATAGAAGGTGAATAGTTCACGCTTGTGTTTGTCAGTACTATATATTTACATCAAACAATCTCCTTATTTTGTAACAATTAAGCAAACTAACCTCTCGTCACAATGGGAGGAGGGAACGCCAATAAATCTATGAATGCACGTGCAAAAAAGGAGGCAGAGAAGGCAAAGGCATCTAAATCCAGTATAAAGGACAATGCCAAATACCAGGCAGATATGAAGGCGTTCAAGTGCGTAGCCTGCTTTACGGTAGGTTCTATTTTGTGAATTACAATAATCACATCAAGCTAATATCATTTGAATTTGATTCTTTTGTGGATAACCTGTATATGTGTATAGATATACATATAAACACGCACGCACAGTATCAATATATATATATATATATATATATATATTGATACTGTACATATGTATGTATATATATATATATATATATATATATATATATATATATTGTATATATATATATATGTGTATAGTATA